TTTTCGGTACAGTGAAGTACACCTTTGGTACAGTAAATATACATATTCAACACAAAAAAATATTTTCATGTGCGGACATTTGAGTAGTCATCCCAATACGGCGATACCTGAAACCGATATAAAAATAACAGAAATCTATCGTAACTTTACACTAGCGAAATTTAATATGAATATGTTATTTGATTAAAATGAAACAGATGTTTTTCTGCACAACGAAACAATTCATCCATTTCGGTTTTCGCATATTTCTTGATGGTTTAAATATTATGATTATTTTCGTTGAATTGAGTATGTGAGAAAGTGAATCATCTGTCAAACTCGTCATTTAACGTTCGTGAAAGGGATCATATCTTTCTATCATTTCTGCTTCACAAATTTATTTTTAAAAAAATATGCCATTTTTTTCATTTTTATTTGCTTAACTCTATAGGCGTATTATGTTGGCAAATATTTATTTTGTTCATTTCGGCTTTAATGGACGAGGCACACTCAAATAATGAATACCAATAATATAGGTCTATATTATGTCAGATAAATCTTTCCCAAAACAATAACGATATATACCATTGCCAATTCGAAATAATATTTTCCTACATTGAAGTGTCCTTTGCGTCCAATGGTGTTATTGTTTTGGTAATATTGAATCAAAATTTTGATAATATCAATTGTTCGTAGAAAGCATGCTGTGCCCGAAAATATTAAATTGATTCAAAATTCTTCTGATATTCAGCCCCGAGCAAAGTGCACACCAGCAAATGTAGAAATCCATAGATATTTCAAATTCAATTGAGTTGATTTTGAAAACATGTATTGTATACTTTTTCAATCAACTGAATTCTCAATGAGAATATTCAACACAGTTGGCAGGATTAAGAATTTGTAGAGAAGAATATATTTATGTATTTGCATCAAACCACCTCTGGCGAGGAAACACCGTATGATACAAAATAATAATATTTGAAAATGAAAGTCGGAAGTACATACTGAATAGAAACATCTATTCTTTGTATTACAACTTTTTATGGAAGCTGAGAATGGAAATGACTTTCTAACCCCCTTCTCTCGCTTGTGGAAATGTCTGTGTCTATATGATTGTTAACTATACAGTGAAAACGAATGAAAACATTATGACCGAAACTAATGTTTTAATTGTAATTATTATCTAATAAAAATTATGATTTTGAATAAAAAACGTTTTACCGAGTAATCGTAATCACGGCTATAATGAAAAAGCTGTTTTAATAATAGAGACAAAGTCACAAAAAGCATTTTATATGCGTCCTTTAGATAATTCGCTGCTACAGATACATATATTGTTTAACTGATTGTATCAACAATTATCTCGAAGCATGTATAAGACAACCATTCTAAACTTTGCACATCTATTACTGCTGTTGTTAAAGAACAATCTCCACACATTTGTTTTCTTAATGGGTAAGAGTTATGTACTGCATTCAAATAAGTTGTACTTGTTACTTACAAAACTTGAAACCACAAAGCGAACCACACCACACATTTACTTGAGATATACATGTAAAAACATTCACACTGAATAACTTTGAAAGTAGAACGGTAGAAGCGGGTAGAAGAATTATGTGAAGCAAAGTTTTATATGCTTCGAAAAGATAAACCGTTTTCTATCGCCGGTTTTTCTTTTGCAATGCACATATATTGTGCGAATAATTTGTTCTGTTATATCACTCTTGTTGAATGGTAGAGGTTGCGGTGTTGGTGATTTTTTTTATTTTCGATTCAATCTTTCTCGTCTATCTATTGATTAAATACCACGAATCAATGAATCAATGCTGTAGTGTGTTGTCTGTTTTCAATAAACTGTGGTATGCATTTGTTTTTTTTTTGTATTTCTAAACTTTTAATTAATTATATTGACAGTGTAAATTGACTTTAACATTCTTGTTAATTTCGTTCCTTCTTTTAAGAAATTTTCATTTAAAATGCTAGTTTTGTAACAAAACCACTGAGAAACTTAAGTCATGATATAAGCAAGAGAAAAAAAAACGATTTTCAAAAGTGTGTGTTCTTGTCAGCAGAAATCAGTTTTTTTTCCTCAATAAATATGTAGATTTTTGGGGCAAAAGGGCAAAATTACCATTACATTGCATGAACAAATAGCGTTATGAAACCACATATTTTTTTTGGTTGTTAAAGTTTTATAGAAAAATCGATCATTGATAAATGACCGAGAATATAAAGCACAATTTCAGGCCACGAAATAAGTATATTCATTGGTTTTCAAGCGCAAAATATATATTTTGCACAATCGTTCATTTCGAATTTCACGTCAGTTCATTACATGTCGACGGTTTTCGTTTACTTTTTTTAAATCTTTTTCTCCGTATTTTTTTCAAATACAATTGAAATACTGAATGAGCCACTGACAATTTTCTGTTGTGTGTTTTTTTCATCCATTTCATGTACGCAGGGGAGAAGCTTTTTTTGCTTCGTTCTTAGGTCTCTGAAAATGATTTTGTCTCCAATAGCCGTGCTATATTCATTACGGTCTTTTATCACGATAATATGATATAATCAAGTGTAATGTATTCTCATCCTTCTTAATATAGTATTTCACCGAAATGCACGATAATTGTGAGCAAAGCCAGCCACAAAAAAATCTTTTATTTTTATTGTCACTATAAAGAAGAGAGGAGGAAAAAAACTCACAGTTTGGTTACGACGCAACTTTCTATATAGTATGAAGATTAATGCATCTATTATACCAATATTTATCGAAACCATCACAAAATCAACAACATTCTTTATTCTATTTTTTTTTTAAATGGACGAGAGTTTGGTTGTGACGACACGTAGTCAAAATACATGAACAGAAATGTACGTAAGCTGCTTGCTCAGTAAATAAAACCCCATCTTGTAAACATATCAGCTGAAGTGTGATTCAAGCGTTTCTTTCTGTATGAGTGTATTGTGTGCAAGCAAAAATATTTGCCAAACTGCCTCATCGCACGACTAGATTCCATCACACAATGCTTCGTCTTAGAAATTTTGAATGACAGAAAATCAGTTTATGCATTTATATACTACGTATTCATACATACCGACGTACACATGTTTTGATTGAACGCTTGTGTCATACATATGTATATATACTTCTGGACATTTTTCAAGCACATCTTTGTTGCCATGGAAATGTTAAAAATTTCATTGCGCTGGTAGCAGCCTTAAAATCGTATTTTATTGTATAATTTAAAAATGAAGAAAAACAAATACATTTGAAAATAAATTCGGAAATTTTGTGTCAAAAAATGTTCAAAATCTTCTTTCTCGTTTACAGCTAACATTGAACGCAAATGCTCTAGCCGACCACACCTTTGGTAAGTTGAACATTATCATTTATTCTAGAATACGCCGTTCAAATGTCTTTAATGGCCTTTAATCATTTCCACAATTTTAATGGCCTTGGAAACGTAAAGTTTTTTTTTCTGCTTCTTATATCAACATTTAAATTCATTCAAATTCACATTGAATGAGCGAACTCGTTTTCTGTTTTGCCTTGCAAATGAATTTGATTCCACCCATCAAATTGTAATTGGCGATGGCTACTGATACATTCCAAAGTATATGTTATTTTGTAAGCCCACCGAGAAATGAAGAAAAACATTCATTTTATGCCACCAAAATGATAGGCACCGATGGTACTTCAACACAACTGAACTCAACATTCCTCCAATTATTTTATTTGCAGTTCCACATTATTTATTCATGTAGTAGTTAGAAAATACGTGCATTATATTTGTTAGAGTGATAAATAGATCTACGTTCCCGTTTTTCGGTGTCTCGTTTCACTCAAATGTAATGACAAACAGAGCGCCACGAAGGCGGAAGGCAGAAATTGTGATGGATTAGTTTCTATTTGAACTGTTAATTAATGTTGAAGCTTCATCAATGATTTTGATGTGGTGCTGAATTCAGATATATATATATGTATATTTAACAATTGATGAAACTCAACGAGTAAACGAAGGTGAAAGATTAGAGAGAGAGAAAAAAAGTTCAAATAACCAGGGAGTTTACTTTGATTATTTGATTAAGTTGGCTAACATACAGCTTTATTATTGCGTCTTATAACCTAAAGTGTACGAGAAATATCGTGCTCACTAGCAGCTGCAGCACACTCAACGAATAAAGACTTTTCGACATGTGTCGAAACTCAAGGGCATCGAGAAAATAAGAGGGACATGTATCGTTCATCGTGCCCAAAAATTATAGAATTTTCATCAGCAACATATTAATGAAGACCACTGAGAGAGCAAGACTGAATATAAAAAGGTTTAACCAAGAATTTTCGGAATTTTACATATTTTTGTCATTTCAGCAAATTGAGAACCGAAATCTACAATACAATTTTACATTTGATGTTGTTACTGCAATAGTCTTTGTTGCAATCGTTTTACCGAACCATAAAAAAATACAATACACGCAATATGTTTAGCATATTCAAAATAATGCCGAAATATTTGAGCATTTTATTCAGGGAGTTACTCAAAAGTTAATTTCAAGTAAACATTTTCGAAGGCATGCGTAAGTTGGAATTCTTCCTCATTAGAATAATTTGTTGCTTGAAATATACCATAGTTTCTAAGTGACTTATATGGTAAGAAAAACCATGAGTCATTTTATTTTATTTTAACGAAATATGCCATAAAAAGTAAAAGTGTCCACACGTTAGTGATATAAAATGAACAATTTTCAGACATTGTGTAAAATATACGCATTTCAATGTTCGTACAAACACATATACAGTGTATTACAAGTGATCGTTTAATATTTGGCACAGTCCTGTAGCAATACTGCTGTGTACACGTACAGTCGTACACAAAAGCGTATGCCGTTAAACATCGTCGTTGGCCGATGCAAGTTGTACCTTCAAACTTTCCTAACATAATACAAAATAAGTGGCATGGTTTTGTCACTACTTCATTTGTATAACTTACGTCTTTCTATAATATTTGCCGAAACATTTAAAAAAAATGACCAAATCCTTGAGGGTTTTTTTTGTCTTTTTTGCTTTACTGTTATTTCGGAATGAAGAATCAGCATTTTTCAGCGTTGAAAAATATTAACTTACCTTACTGGAGCGTGCATTCGATAAATAATTAAGTGGTAAAAGGTGGCCAGTTGAAGTCTACAAGCTTTTTCGTTTACAAACACGTTCAAAGAGGCGATGCTCTCGTTTCAAGATTGAATAAAACCGCTTTCTAGATGTTTTATGAATGAGCCAAATAACAAACATCATAAAAAAGTGTCTTTTGTACCACGTTCCGTTAGTATTATAATTAAATTCCAATCTTTTTTGCTCCCTTTTCAAACATTTTTCTCTGCGCGGTACATGCATATTTTATGATTTTTTTTTTCGTGAAATTCAAAATAGGGAAGTTGAGAATTAAGAAGCGATATATCACGGTTAAGAAGAATATCTACGAAATTCTGCTCAACATGTATATGACATGTTCAGATCAAAAATAAAGTGTCTTGTGTTTAAAAATTATTGTCATGGGTAAGTCAGCGGATAAAACATAAATGACATTATTAGACAACAATGTGCTACTGACTCACACGCAACGAAGTATGTATAGGACATAGTACAAAATAGATTCGGTTGGCGACTTAAAAAAAAAATCGTTATCTCCTACCAAAAATAGTACGCTGGATTTCCAATTTTTACCAGTGATGGATTAATTAAATAAATTAAAAAATAAATTAAAGATAATAATTGTCCTAAAATAATAAATGGATGTTCAACTGGTCGTATTCCAATTCAAGTTAATGCATAACGAAGATGGGCTTAGCATAGACACACGTAAAATGGACAGTGATGGTTTTTTCCTATCTGAATAGCGCTAGCTATTCGCAGCGCCTGTACAGCATTGCTGCCCAGATGCTGAATCGTAGCGGTTGCCGCACGCGCAACACACTTCGTTTGTACCACACAGAGCATATACGTTCGCGTTCGTTCTCTGTTCGACATGCGTTTGTATACTGACTACTATGGTATTAGTGTATCATAACTTGTGAGCTCACTGGTTACTTAGACTATATGACAATATGTTGTGTGGTACAAAACGCGTGCGGCAACCGCTTCGATTCAGCATCTGGGCAGCAATGCTGTTCAGACGCTGCGAATAGCTAGCGCTATTCAGATAGGAAAAAACCATCACTGATTCTTACACTCGAATTTCGTTTCGAAAACAACGTAATAGGCCGAATTTGAGCACTGAATGTAACAGTAGATTCACCTAGTGGCCGTTGTACCTTGTTGGCCCCAATTAAATTAATTCACAGAAGATAACCTCCGGAAAATTCAATTAAAAATTTACTCATTAGGCACCATAGTGACCAGATTTGAAACCATTTTTGATTTTGTGCGAATTTGTGTTATGTTAACCGAACGGCATGTTTCTGTTTTAATGAATACCTTTTTGTTGCAAAAATTGAATTAAATTTATATTGTAATATTGATCAGCTTGGAAAATAATATCAAATATAATCAAGTCATCGATGCAATCGTGCGATGGTCACTCCAATTAAATGAAACGGTTAACCTCAATGAAAATCCTTTTTCTTCTTTCTGATAATTGATGTCACCAAATACCGATTCATTGCAATTTCTCTTCATTTTATGTTTGTCATTTATAAATTTATTAGGTATGAAAATGGACACGGACAGCATTACAAATATATTGATTTCGTATAAAAAGGTATGCCATTCAACCGCATTACATGTCAGAAATTGTGAAATGCTAAATTGTCTCATATCGAACTCAGGTGACCCCATTTGTCGCATTTTTGGTTTTACCGACACAGAACCATATTATAAATGAAACGTGGAACTTAATTAAATCAAAACCGTAGATGGCATTCTATATTAAAATATGATTGTGGCATGTCAGATGCATACTATCATATGAGCACAATACATTTCGTAGTAACGCTTCAACGTCGAACATTCTTTGATATTCATTGATCTTTTGCCATTGGTTTGGGAAATTTTGCTTTTTGTATTTATGGTCAATGGTATTAGAGTAACCATTATACAGCATCAGCGAATATCGCCATCGCTTGATGGCAGTCATAAAATCAGTCTAGTTATTGAATGTGAAAAAATTTCACAGACAATAAGCAACAACTTAAAAGACAGAAAAAAAACCGAATCAGTAATTCCCATTTGTTGGATTAGAAACTTGAAGGAGAAAACCTCGAAGTGGAAATATGTCGAAAGCTCATTGAATAAAGATGACCAATATTTTAACCCTATCAGACGATATATTCAATCCCATTTCATAGTGAATCTGATTTTTTATGAGTCTTTTCCATTTCACAATGGATATTTTCCAATATAAAACAGAAAAACATATTGGAAAATGCCGCACCCAATCAATACGATTTCACCCTTTCAAATATCTGTATTAAGTATCGGAAAAAAGGTCGATCAAGATTTATGTTTGCCTGTTCAGAATCAGAAAACAATGTTTGGTAAAGCAATATATATGCATGTATATATTCTAAGCCAATAAGAAAAGTTTTCTTTTTTTATTATTTTATGTCGGGTTTGTACAACGTGCGTACAATGAAAATCACAAAATTTACAAGCAGTTTTCAATGGGGAAAGTTTGACTTTTGTTTTGCAAATTAAAATCGACCGAATAGCTAATAATTTTGCCACCAATATAACCTCTTAAATTCAGGAAAAACGTAATTTTTTTACAAACTTTTATGGATTGATGGCGGAGTTTTCTTTTCTCAAAAGGATATTTAAAATCATCTAAAACTTCTTCTTAAATAGGTAAACCAGAAATTCATTCATCTAATTAGAGTACAAAAATATCGTTCAAACAAATTTTACAATGAAACTCTGTTGCTTTCATACGCACCAGTGTGTACGCTCCAATGTCTGATGCTCGTATTTGCTTTATGAATCCTTGAAGGTTTTTTCAACGCAAAAAAAAATTCAAGGGTTGATTTTGTCAACAAAAAAAGAAAATTCGAGTGTGAAATTGAAAAGCGCACCGCGGGATTTTGTTTTAACATATTTCTAGACGGAAACATTAGCTTTATTTTATATTGAATGCGTGAAAACGAATACAAAGTTCAAGTACAAAAAATGGATGTGTGTTTAAAATTTTGAAAATTTGCATTTTAAGTCGATAATTACATGCTAACATTTTCTAACGGCTGGTAATATGCATTTAAACAAAACAAAAATTCTTCAAATTATGGTAAAAAGTCTGCGGTGAACACTGCTTAAGAGTTTTGAGTACTCATTCAAATATATTATGCGATTTTAACAACCATTTAGAACATAGGTGATGATGAG